CGCTCCTTTAAGTGAGCCCAAGACCAACTGCACACAAAGCAGAATATAATGCAAAACGGGCTTCGAATCTGACCTTTTTTCACGCGTGCAAATCACGTAGTTGGTTGTTGTTTATCAGGTGACAGCGCTGCCCAGTCGCCACGTGTAATCCCTCCAAAAAAACAAAAAATAAAAAATAAAAATAGAATTGACCAACATTTCCAGTTGGACCTAAATTTGCACCTTTCGGCTGAAAAAATACACCCACACACTTTAGATCTGTTCTATGACTTCTATCGATTGAGCGGCCGTGGAAGAGAATTTGGTGAAGAGGTTGAAAGCCGCGGTGGGTCACCTGGAGGCGCTCTCCGCTGGGGGAATCGCGCGGACCTTCCCGGCGGAGGACGGCGGCGATTCGTTCGCGGCGCATCCGTCGATCGTGTCGTTCGACTATCTGATTTCCCAGCACGTCAATCGAGTCACGAGTGCCGCAGAGAAGATCGGGGGACAGGTTCTGGACTTGTCTAAGGTCATCGCTGAGGCTTTTGATGTGCAGAAGGAGCTTCTGATCAAAATCAAGCAAACTCAGGTCCGTTTGCTTCTTCTTCTCTTGTGATGTGGCTGCGTGAGACTGTTTTGTGTTAATGAGATAATTAAGATTGTTCGAATACGGTCTAGCAGTGGGAATGGAATGTAGTACTTCGTTGATGATGTATGTATGGATTCTTTATGATTCTGTATGAACGGAAGCGTGTGCCATGTCCTTTTTTTCTGTGATTATGGATAAAATGGTGATTGCTTAGAGATTTGTAGGGCTAAGGCTGAATTTATCCTTTAGATGAAAAATATATATTGGAGGGGGAGATGAATGAGATGGGCTGCTGGCATCTCTTTGTTTTGTCGTTGGGGAATTCGAACAGAAAGGGTTATTTTTATGATTCTGATTGCAGTTCCTGATCCGTCTGGTTGATGTGTTCCGATTAAACTAGTTATAAATTTCATTGCACGAGCCTGGGCTAATCTATGAGTCGGAAAGTGGAAACCAATAGTAGGTGACTAGGTTCCTTGATTGTATGTGAGAACTAGTTGTTGTGGGGATTGGTAGATTCTTGATATATTCTCATATCTTGTAGTGCATTTTTAAATGTTATAAGCAATTGCATTACCGGATTGTGGGAGATACTTAGCCGTTAAGATGATCTAATATCCAAGCATGTCAATGTTAGTATGTGTTTTCAGTTATTCATATTCTACCACACCTCTATGTGTTTTGTGCGTGTAATTTGTGAACCTTAGTATTCCCATGCTATATGTGCAGAAACCTGATAATCCAGGATTGGTGGAATTCCTTAAGCCGTTGAATGATGTGATGGCAAAAGCTTCTGTGTTGGCTGAGGGAAGACGAACAGATTATTTTCTTCACGTAAAGACTGGTGCAGATAGTTTGGTTGCTTTGGCATGGATTGCTTTCTCAGAGAAAGGCTGTGGTATGAAAAGTTTCCCCACACATGCCACTGATTAGTAATTGTTTTGTGTTTTTCTTTTACAGTTAATCAGCTACTATGTCAATTTAAGTATGAGCATGCCCACTGCACATGTGGAGGAAAGTTGGCAGATGGCGGAGTTTTACTGTAATAAGGTAGGTTCTGATTCTTTCCCTTTGTTCACTAAAGAGTACAACACCTCTATCTCCAGAGAGAAACTAAATAGGAGATGTACACAAGGAGAAATGTAGTAACCCTCTAAATATCTCGCTCATCTGTGTTTTCTTATGTTGGTTTTTGTCCAATGAATTATATTTGGGAGGGG